GGTTTCTTTCTCTTCGACTAGTCCCCTACTTTTTGATGTCGTGACTACGGGCACTGAGATCACTTCCTCGACAACGAACATCTTCTTTGCGGCCGGTTATTCTCCGTAGACCATTTTGATTCCGCCCGAAGTGGGAAACTTCAATGCTTCATGTAGGGTCGAAGGCAATGCTCCCATGTTGTGGACCCATGGCCTCCCGAGTAAAGCATTGTATATCATATCCCCTACGATCACATAAAATTTTATTTCCTGGGTGGTCCCGTCAGTGTTTACTCGTAGGGTTATTTCACCCTTCGTCGTCTTGCATGCCATGTTGAGCCCGTTCAATACTCGTACTGACGGCACGATTTGGTCCAATAATCCCAATTGTTCTACGACCCTTCTTCAGATGATGTTGGTCGAACTATATGTATCGACTAATACACGCTTAACTCGAGATTTATTGATAAGTATGGATATTACTAGTGCATCATTGTGAGGTTGGATGATGCCCTCGACATCCTCTTCGCTGAATGAGATGGATCCCTCCGGGATGTAGTCTCGAGTACGTTTTTCCCTTGTGATAGAATATTTGGCGCATTTTATCATTGGCCCTTGTGGGAAATCCACTCCCCCAATGATCATGGTGATCACGTGTTGAGGTTCCTTTCACTCAATTTGTTTGTTGGCGTCCCTATTTTTGACATGCTTTTTGTCCCTCTCACTTAGGAATTACCGAAGATGCCCATTGTTGAATAGTCAAGCCACTTCTTCCTTTAGATTTCGACAATCTTCGATCATGTGACCGTGAATACCATGGTATTTATATACCAAGTTATGATCCCTCTGTGCGAGATCGGACTAAAGCGGTCTAGGCTATTTGGTCTCTTTGATGCGACTAATAGCTGACACTATATTTGCAGCATCCATGTTGAAGTTGTATTATGATAGTCTTGGTGCTTCCCTACCCCCGAGTGATCTGTCAAAACCGTTCTTACTCATTAGACCCCGGTTGCTAGGTCCTAGATAACTTCTCGTGTCGTTTCTAGTTGGGTGTGCGTTTCCCCTTCTGTCCGAGTTGTATGGTTGATACCGATCTCGGACTGGCCTTAGCTCCTGATCCATAATTATTTTAGATCTATCGTTCACTCTATTGGGATAAACAGACCCCGAGGGGGGGCAAGCTAGTACTCCTCGACTCTGATCTTCGACCGATACTTGTTATGAACATAGGCCCAAGTAACAGTCGGGTACTCTACCAAGTTTTGCTTAAATTATTGACAAGCGATGGAACTTTAGGGTTTGAGCGCTTGAGTGAACTGCTGAACAGACTAATCATCTGCAACCGGAGGCATGTCCATTCGCTCCATCTGGAACTTCGACACAAGCTCTCTAAGTATCTTGTTGTCTCTTTGCTTGACTTTGAAGAGGTCTGATTTCCTCGTCTCGACCTTGATAACGTCGGTATAGGATTTAACGAAGGCATCTGCAAGTATAACGAATGAATCAATAGAATTCGGTGTAAGATATGGAACCATATCATTGCCCATTTGGATAAGGTTTCCCCAAACTTCTTCAACAACACTGATGCAATCTCGTCATCTTCTAGGTTGTTGCCTTTTATTGCGCATGTGTAGAAGGTTACAGGCTCGTTTGGATCTGTGGTTCCATTATATTCGGGAATATCGGGCATCCAGAATCTCTTCGGAATTGGCTTCAGTGCCGCACTTGGGAGGAAAGATTTCTAAATGAATTTTTTATAATCCAGCCATTTCAATATCGGAGGCGCACCTGAGATCTAATCGAACCTCGAATTGTAAGTTTCCACCTTTTTTCATTTTCCTCTATCTTTTTCTCACTAGACTCCACCCTCTTTGTTAGCACTTCGAGCATTTTCATCTCTTCGAAAGTTTCTCCGGGCCCAAACTCATCTGGTACTGCGATAACCTGTTCATCCCTTCGGGCGTCTTCTCTAACCCGCTCGGGTTTGGTGCTGTTCTAGGTGCGTTTTTGAGTCTATAGTTGTGCTATTGCCACTTTCTAAGCCTGTAGCATTTCAAAAATCAATCGTAATCTAACTCCATCACCTTCCTCTTTGGGTGCTTCTCGAGTCGATGGTCGGGATGCCCCGTGAATGTTGTTTTCAGGATCAGTTGGCAGGTTGATATTGATAGCGACTTCTAAGTTAGCGTCGAGCGGGTCAGCAATTGGAACACCATTAGGATCAACAGGGGTACGTCATTGCTTGGTACCACGTTGTTGTTTTCACCGTGGTGGTCTGACTCACCATCAACGTTCAAATAAGCAGGCTGAGAGTTTGACATTTTAAGTGAACCTGAAATCAAACTTCAAAGAGCAAGCGCAAAATAGGGTGTGTTATGAAAATTCGTATTAAATCACCATTATTATCCTTAGCTCCGTAGTGGGCGCCAAACTGTTTACTCTTAAAATGAGTAACAATTGAATTTATATGCAGTTTAAAGGATATGTGATTTAATTTAATACGAATGAACTATGAACAATAAATAATTGAATTAAAGAAAATGAGAGTGATCAAACCAAATGTAATGGATGATTAAGTCTAGATTCACAATGGACGTTTGGAAATCAGTTCCGATCTAGCTCTCGGAACGGGCTCGATTACAACTCAATAAGCAAGCAGCTGAAGAACACTTTGAACAATAGCTAAAGAACAAAATTTAGCTTTATTCCTTGATATGTGTGTCAAAAGTGGTCCTTAAAATATAAAAGTTCCCCCCTTCATATAGTAGGGGAGTTTCAATCCTAGTACAAATCTAAATAAGGTAAAAAAATCTTCTTATTCCGGTAAACATTGATACGCAGTTGATATCGGGCAAAATTTTCGCCGTAATATCCGGTTGAGGGCGGATATTTCGGCCCCCCGCTCATCTTGTCTAACCGTCTTTTCCCTTAGTCTCGGCTCTTCACTCTGATCGGGCTCAATGCTCGGGCGTGTCCAGTCCCGGGTGCACTATACGTCTTCCACGGGCTCCGAGACGTAGAATCCCTCGGCTTTACTCGAGGCCATGTCAGATCGTGATTTCCTATCGTTTCTTTACCGAAAAATTGGGGTAACTTTATCCCTGATGTTTCCCCGTACACGTTAACAAATCCATCTATTCCGTTTTTTTATCTTTAATTATTAGTCTATTTTGAAAAGGATGATATTTTTTTATTTTTTTAAAAAAAATAATTTAAACTTTAAAATTTACCTTTTAATAGCATGCTTTTATGAAATCTTATGATATGCATAATACCATAAGTTTTAAAAGTTCTTTTTTTTTTTAAACTTTGTACTCAATCAAACCCGTCGCATAAATTGAAATGGAAAGATAATATGAAAGAAGAAAAGAATAAAAGTAATTGGTCTTCTCCTATACACTTGCGAATTGGGCCAACTTAGAAAAGAAATTAGAACCTTCAGTTTTCTGGTATTTTGTGCTCATGAGAAATTGAAGATGATTCGATTAGAATTAGTTGTGGCTAAATTGGAATAAACTTTTGCATAATGTTTCATAAGGAATTGGAAGCCAGTTACAATCTAAATTCTAAGCTCGTTTATAATTTGCTAGATGTAGGAATGCATAACTATCAAACCCATTTAAAAGAGAAAACAAACGTCTAGTGTTAAAAGACTTCAAATCATTTTGGGCTTTCTAATGTGGAGGTGCTTTTACCCGATAGATTTGCACGATAGCATCATTTGAGACCGATGTTTATATTTTGTCTCTATTAAGGAAGTTTTGCAAAATAGTCAGGTGGGACATAACTTTAATACTATCTTTATTTTACATATCTTGTTAAATCGTTCACAAACTCTATCGACAATCTTGCTTTGCTAATAATAAGTTATGTCTGACATAGCTTGTATACTATTTTTATTCTACATATCTTGTTAAACTGTATATGAGTCTCGTCGGATTGGCAAATCTTGCCCTTATTATTCAATTGTTCACAAGTTTTGCGTATGGGCACTTAATTTTGTTCTTATTCTACTTATCTTGTTAAATTATTCACAAGTCTTGCTACATAGACAAATTTGAACTTTAGGAGATTTCGCCAAGGATTTATAATTTTCTTTGCATTTCAAACTTGGAGAGAGCTAAGGTCTCAAAACCGCGATTATTTTTTACGCCAAAGGGTCAAATCTACTCATGTATTATGACAAAAGGTTTAAATATATCATTCGTTATACTTTAGGTCCAAATATACCCCTGTCGTAATATTATTGGTTCAAATATACCCTTCTTCTGTTAAGTTTGTCCGAGGTGGACATCCAATCATATGTGGCACTTATATTTTATGAGGTGGATACCACATGACATGTCATCTTAGCGCCCCTAATCCATATATAAAGACTAAAATTTGAAATACAACATTTTTTATGGTAGCGGTAATGGTAGCAATAGTTGCGGAAGGGAAGGAAATTTTAGGGGTGAAAAAAAAATAGAAGGGAGGGGGTAAAATGGGTTAGGGGTGCTGAGGTGGAGAGTCATGTGGCATCCACCTCATCAAATATCAGTACCACGTAGGATTGGATGTCCACTCTGAAAAAACTTAACGAAAAAAGGGTATATTTGAACCAATAGTATAACGACAGGAACATATATAGACTCAAAGTATAACGATGGATAAATCTAAACCTTTTCTATAGTGCAAGGGTATATTTAGCCATTTTCCCTATCTTTTAATACTAGCGTAGTTAGGGGATATATTTAGAAGTTCTTAAGGGATCATGAACATGTTTGCGCCAATTAGCATAGGAGCATCAAGATATAGTAGAACTCAACATTAACACTAAAAGCTTTTTCGAGAAGTTATGAAGCTTTTTCACCTCACTAAACCCCTCAAGTTTATATAGAAAGAACTCACTGCCTCGTTAAGCTTACGTGCAGCTTCCAATCTCTTAACTTTGCCGCATTAGCTCTACGCATTCCTCAATTTGCACTTTGACATGTCAAAATATTTCTATATAGAAACTAGGTTCAAGTCATAGGAAGTCTCAGATCAACCACCGCAAAAAATAATTGCAAAAGTAGGCAAACTCTTTAACACTACCAAGTCTCGTCCCAAACCTCTATACAACAACAAAGTATTTCGCATAAACACATTAACATTGGTATATAGGGGCATAAACCACGTCAACTATATTCTCGTCATCATTGTCGATGCAAACTATATTATTCCGCCACCCCTCGGTCAGCTTAAAATGATAGCATATCCAGCAGCATTAATTTGGTCTCTAGTCCTCGAGCTCTTCGACAGCACCCTCCTCCGATGAGGCTGTCTTGGGAAAGAATTCTTCACCAGAGTAAAGCTCTTCAAATATCTACACAAAAATAGCACAACACCAAATGGGTCAGTGTGTCTGAGGATCTACCCTTCTCCTACATCACTATAAGCCCTACATATATGCATGCAAACAGGCCATGGCAAAGTAAAGCACAAGAAGAAAGAAGAAAAAAGGCGGCAACTATCAGGGGAAAAAGAGGATAGAGACCAACGTAAAAGAGGTCCATTTAAGAAAAGCAGAATGCATATTACCTTTTCTGTAGCACCCAGAAGATCGTGGTAGTATGGACTCCCATCTGGCATGGGGGTAGAAATGATGTTATCTAGTACATCCTGAAACTGATGGACAAAAATTGGAAAAGTCAGGACAACACGCCAGGCATAGATTTGTATCAGGAATCATTTGGTAGCATGTCGCATATGAGATTATTAGCCCATCGATAAATGATTAATTATTTGGGATCGTAAGGTGTATCACAACCTGATATTCTGTGTTTGCCGTTTGGTACAGTTTGCTTAATCCCATGTGGTACCTTAACAGTAGCCCACCCCAATATCTTGCATTTTACACAAAAATTGAAATACCAGTCCAAGAATAGTCTTCATGCAAAACAATGGTTTTCTCTAATCTATACGAAACTAGATTTAATAACTACACTATAGTATTTGATTTTTCCATCACAAATTCATCTCCACTCAATGTCCATCAATCTAACACTAATTATCCATAATTTTCAACCATGACCTATAATGTACAAAAGAAGAATCACAACCTGGATAAAAGAATATAATAATTGTTGGGAAGAAAATAGAGAGAGAAGAAGATTGTTGCATATTAGCAAAACTTATATAATTCAGGACATAAAAATAAAATGTTTTTTTGCGAAAAGGAGAAGAGAAGAATAACAAAGGGAAAAATCAAAAGGAAAAAAAATTAAGGGGTGGAGAACATTAAATTGCAAGGGCAGGAGAAAGAAATACAAGGAAGACAAATGAAAGGAAAGAGACAGAGCAATCCACTCAAGGGAGGGAACAATAGGAGGAGATAGGAGGCAGAAAATCATAATGTCAGCTACATGGCCTTTTTTCTCTTGGGGATGTGGATTGTGGATCAACTGACAGCAGGGTAAAGCAATCTGCAAGGAAGAGGAGTAGCCGGAGGTAGCAAGATGTAACTGGAGAGGCTGTGTTGGAGGGAGATGAAGGGTAAGGAGGAAGAGAAATGAAGCAAAAGCTATTTTAGCCCTATTTATAAGTGGGGATCTGAAGGGTAATTCTCACACATTTTGAAAAGGAATACTCACACTTAATCCCATGGAATCTAATCCATGGATTTCGATACCACACCTTCCCTCCGGGACAAAATAATGAGTGAATTGGGCGATAAGCAACTGCTATAGTCTGACTTTCAACTCTAAACATAACACGGGTGATAAACTTCAAGAGTAATTAATTCCTATGTGGCAACCAACTAATGTACTATGCTCAGTGACACTAAAGAACATGTTTTCTTTTTATGTATACACTAATGAAAATGTTAGACATTCTATATGATAAGTTGAAAACCTCTATCTAAGTGTGCAGAAGATTCCAGGCCAAAATAAACAAGATAATCAAAAACCCTGAAGGAAACAAAATTGACTGAAAGCAAAGGCCCAAAAAGTGAACTGGCTTGATAGCCGTTTCAGTATTTTTACAAACAAAAAGCATTATCAAAATGAATTGCACATTTCCTTAAATGAAAAAAGAACCGAGGAAAATTCATATAGAAACAAAATGGAAGCTGGCAGTTGTGTAGAGCAAAACCAAAAATAAAAAGGGGTATTGCAGATACCTTAGCAAGCTCTTGAGTATACAAGACACTCCAAAGTAAAGCAGGTTTTGCATCTCTAGTTTCACTTTGGTTCTCCGCAGAATTATCATTTTCAGAACTTCCAGAAACAGGAATGCAAAACAGTGCGTTGATGGCTGCATGTAATAGCTTCTTCCCCTGAACATCATCCTCACATATGGCTGAGAGATAAGTCAAAAACCTGAAAGAGAAAGCAGCGAACCAACTGGGTTAGTGTAAGATACTTGAGGAATTAACTGAGAATTTGTAACTCCAACTCCATACAACTTAATTTTACCAATTACTTCTATAATTAGAGAAATTCAAAATCAAGTGTCTGAAACACGTAGTTAACATGGTTTCAGAAGCTTGACGGGGAACACTCGTATATATAGGTAGCTGAACAAACTTGATAGATGCCTGTAAATTACTCAGGTTGAGTTATATACACGACTTGCGCATACTTCTTGACACCAACTTGGTGTTTATTAGTGAAAGTTTAGACTTAATGGAAGGAAAAAAAAGGGTAGTGACATGGGCACTAACATTCTAAAAGTGAAAGGCAGGCTAAAGAGCGCATCCTAAAAAGATAATGAATTCTGAATAGTGATATGTTAACACCGATGTGTCAGCAGACCCTACAGCACTAGAATAGTGGTGACTAAATAGAAATTAGGCAGGTGAACTCACATTCCAGAGGGGCAAACAGCAACATTGCTACTCAGCTGAAGGACATGGATTGCTGTGACCTGCTCAGGGAAGAGAGCTGGGGAAAAAAATTGATANTTGCTCAGGGAAGAGAGCTGGAGAAAAAAATTGATAAGGTAAAAAATTTGAAATATTAAAATCACTTAAAAACAAAAAAGTGTGTTATGCATATATCTTACACCGAGGTGGAAAAAATGCCAAACAATTGGCTACATCCAATTTCAAAGAGTGCTTTGTGATGCATACGCTCCTAGCCAGCTTCTCAGTTGTATTGTTTGAGCCAAAATCACAATAAACAATTTGCAGAGCATCAGGTGAAGCATGAGGTGGTGGTAATTGAAACACAAAAGATGGAGCTAATATCAGCTTATGGCTGAATAATTCTTGTTCCGAAGCCAAGCGAACACCTTTGTAATTCCCAGTAGCCTGTGAAATCATCAAGGTGACAGGTCAACAACTCATGCACTTCAAAAGGGTTCAGTTCCACCAAATGAGGACGGTTAAAAGTCATTAAGAAACAACAAGAGCATCACTTCGAACCTTGTCCATGAGGAGAGAATTAACAGGCATCCGAAGAACCTGGAAACAAAGTCGAAGTAAAGATAGAAATTAGCCTCAGGGAAGACTACTAATGACACAACAATTCAAAGAATTCCAGGAAATTAACATTAAATAACAAATACTGAAGAATGGACACCATAAACAACTTTGAATCTGATGTTTAGCACAATAAGAACTTCATTTTGCAAATATCCGAATACAATGTATAGTATAAGTAATGATGAAGAAATCAAGACAGATTACTTTTCGACTACACGAGAAAAGGTAACAGAAGAGAAACCAATCAAGATGATATCTTCTATTCGATGTCAAATGAAACGTAAAAAGCTGAGCTCATTCAACTTACCAAAAAATTAAAAGTTAAGCTCATTCAGCAGCTGTTCAAATTAAAGATTAATTGAGTTTGCCTAAACAGTAATCCTTCAGGATGTAAACAACAGTGTCAATGCTCCCGAATGCTTGAAAAAAGCTTCTTTCAGTACTTGTACTACAAGCAGGCTCATTAACATTTCTCATCACAAATGTATATCTAGCATTGTGAGGAATAAGAAAGCAAGGCCACAACTAGATGCAAAGTTGTTTAATACACTTCCTGGCTAGAGCTAAGCTCCCTAAGTTACATGCTGGGAGAGTTCTAACTGCAAATGTGCGACCTCTAGGAGCTCTAATTGGTCCTATGTTATGCTTATCACTTCCCTACGGGAACGTTATGATGGAATTTTAACAAAACAAACTTTTCTCTATTTTTAGGAGGATGGCAGGGTGTAAGATAATTATACTACCAAAACACAAAAATGATCAGAAACATAATGCATATTTGGACATTGTCTACTCTCCGCCATGCATTGCAATTAACAACGCAAGGATAAAAAAGGTAAAAAATCTCATTGGAACAAAAATGCAAAACTAAGTGATAATACACTGGAGTTATCCAAGGAAAACACATGTTAAAGGACTTACATAAATGCATCCTTTTACTGCAGCACGACGACAAAAGGCCTGTGGAAGTTCCCCTTGACCATAAATGGGGTAAATCATAGCACCAGATGCATTAGGAAACCTAAAGATTGTAAACAATGGGAAAACTAAATAATTTGGTTTACGAGGAGGAAGCATATGACCACAAGATGTAATGGCATATAAAGATAACTTTCCATCTCAGAGGGTCAATGATTATGATTAATTAGTGTCATGATAGAATCCCTTCTATTTTTCTAACAGTTCCAAAAAATTATTAATTATTCTTGCGAGTATTTGCATGTCAAAAAGTCAACCCTATACATAGAGCTCCCCAGGTTGACTTTTGAATCTCAGTTACCCATCTTACCACTACAAGATCAAGGTTTTGACATAGCATATAGATGCTCCGCGAACAGTTGACAGACATGAAAACACATATAAGTGGGTATTCCAAGGTTGGACCTCTTTCATCCACACGTGCAAGTATAACCCAAGAATGCATCTAATTGAACTTATCATTTTCATTATCAGAGATGCGAATGGACAATAAAATTAGATTAGCCTAATAATATCATTTTCAGGATTTCCACAGTTAGGAGCGTGAGCCGTGAAGTTCAATTGTGGACAAAGAAGAAGCTAAAGCTAAACAGCCAGTAAATGGAAAGGTACTTTCATGATTAGTACACTACATTCTAAGTACAAATGGGCGAGGTACATTCAGGATTAGTACACTACTAGACTGTTTTATGTACAAAAATGGAAGAGGTACTTTCATGATTTCTACATGACTACAAAGGAAGGGTGAGAGTATAACCTGCCAACGGATGAGTGATAAAGGGCCAACCGATCAATACCATCTTTTGTATTAAGAACACTTTTGCAAACATCCCCATTCTCTTGGTCATAATCTGCCATTGTTATTGCATACAGAATAATCCTAAAAAAGAAAATATCACTACTAAGTCAGACGAATATAGCTAGAATCTAACCTACAAAAAAATGAAATTTACTCTGATTCCCAAATTCTGGATAAACAACCATAAACAGAAAAGTGGGAACTAACAGTCTCGCGTCCATTGAAATGCAAAAAGGTGATAAAGATCGAAAAGCAGTGTCAGTTACATATTAATTAACCATTTTCTTCTCCATATGTGGAAAAGAAAAAGAACAGCAAAAACTATTAGTCAATTATCCTCACAGATCAGTTTGTTTACAAAGCAGTTTTAGAAAGTAATTGGTCTGCTTAATTGGCATGCTTTCAATCTAAAGGAAAAGCTTCCTACTTTATTAGGCTGCAACATCACAATCATACAGAAATCACACAATCAATAATGCTTAATATTTGATTAGGACTATTTGATTCATGAAACAAGCATACGACACAATCAAACACAACGAAAGCAAAAAAAAAAAAGGAATAACAGAAAACAGGAAACTGTGACTAACAGAGAGAGAAAGGCGATTCGATCTGTACGATTTTAGCTTAGAAGAAAGCCCCATTTTGCTTAAAAACTCCACAAACGGACTGTCTAAATCCTCCTCTGAAATGCTCTTACTCTCCCCACCATCAGTAGCAAAAGCTTCAAAATGCCCTTGCACCAGCTTGAAGAATCCCATCAACTGATTCTTCTCTGTAAAGCTTAGTTTCCGGTCCTTAAATATCGCGCTACGCGAATCAGGTACATTCTCCAAATTGCCCTCACCATCATAGAAAAAATTCCCGTCAATGCTCTTGAACTCCATGTACTGATTCACCTCCGATTTCAAAATTAAATTAATCATAGCATCAGCACACAACAAAACCCTGGGCCCACTCAAATCAATGTTAAACTTTCGAGATTGTTCCAAGGGTTCCGAGGAGTAAGAGGTGATTTCTACGGAGGAGTAGAGCGAGCGGGTGGTTAGAGGAACTCGGGTAAAACCCGAATCGGCGTCGGGTTGTGGAATTGAGGGTTCGGAGGAGGATTGAGATTGGATATATGAAATGAATTCGTGAAGGGGAAAAGAAGCATAGTGGCTACCGTATGAAGGGTTAGGGTCGAGGTGAAGGACTGATTTTCCGGCGGCGGCGGCGGCGGCGGCTAGTATGGACTCCGGCAGACCGGTGCCGACCACTATAAGATCGAAATTGGATGGTTCAATAGGAGGATACGACGCAGTTTCATCCATCAGCTTGGCGAACCACGAGTAGACTGTCAATATACAGAGAAAATAACAAAACTGGTGCTTTAAGTTTAGAGGAAGGTCTAAGATAACGGGGAAAGTGCACAAATAGCCGTTTTTCTGACCCTTATTTAAAGATTAACCAAATTTTATTTACCCAAATTTTTAAGTTTAGCAGCCTCAAAATAAAGTCGAGTTTGAAGTTGAAATAGCCGTTTAGAGTGTTGATCTTTGGGAAAATAGTAATAAGATGTAAATTTGAGAAAACAAAAATCGATATGTGTCATAGTATAAACATGATTTAAATATATAAATATTATGGTAAATATATGTACAAATGAATCGTTATGTGACAATGATTGAAGATATAAAGGAGTTTCAAGATCGTGACTCACGGGTTTAATAGCCTCTTTGGCCCTACTACTTTTTAGCCAAAAATATTTTTCTAAAATTAAGGTATTTGGCCAAGTTTTTAGAAGGTAAAAACGGTACTTTTGAATTGCAGCGGAAGTAATTTTTAAGAAATAGAAAAATCTTAAATTATGGAGCATTGCTTTAGAGCGTAAATGTTTTCAAACAAGTATAGTAACATTAAATATATTATTTATAATTTAGCCAACATACTGAAGTTTAGATAGGGCTAGATGGGATTGTAATGTGCAAACACAGACAATTCAGATTTCTAACTTGGTATTCCAAGATAATGTTACGATAAATAAAGATGTTACACAATGAAATTGATAAGTGCTATTAGTGTTAAGCGATATAATAAGACCTATCAAAGTAAAAGACAAGTTCTATAAAATGATAGTAAGATTGATAAGAATGTTAGGTATTTAAGATCCAACATATTCATAAGATAATCGTCACATAAAACATATAATTCCCAGTTATATAAAATAGAGAAAATGACAAAAATCGTTCCTTATTTTTAAGAGTAGGTTTTTTATAGTCTCTCAAATATACATTTACCGTTTTTAGTCCTTTAACTATTCAAAAACTTATCAATTTTGATCTCCGTCTACTTTTAACCAAGCACTGTCAGTTTATTTTAATAGCTTGAAAATAATTAAGCGTTTCTCTCTTCCCGTTTCTTTTTTCCCAAATTCCTCTTGTGAAAAAACCCTAACCTCAAGGATTCAGCATGGTCGATCAATGAAAGGAGATACAGGTCCTAATTTCATCCAATGAAAGGTGGAAGGAAGCATATGATTGGAATCAATCTGATATGGCATATCAATTCCAACTTGAAATCACATGGTTTAAGAATTGACTTGATATTTGAATTCATGCTTGTCATGGGCAAGTCCTTAATTTTCTTGCAGCAATTTTCACTCTCTTTTTTTATTTGATTATTCGTTGGTTGTCGCGACACAGTGAGTTGCAATCGGCCATAATTTGATTCACTTTTTTTGACACAAAAGAATACTACTATATTAGAATCAGATAGTACTATAATTTTCTTAATTTTGAAAGGGCCAAATTTGTTGATTAAGTGATAGCTCATATTGTGAGTTGAGCTGATTTCACTCACAGCGCATCCCCCATTAATGGTGGTCCAAACGAGTAAGTTGAGTTTAAGGGAAGAAGATGAACATGAGAAAGAATAGTTGGTGAGAAACTTTCTATATTGAAAATGTAATTATACACACACATGATTACTATACTTTATGTGATAGACCCAAAATGTCATCTTTAAATTTAATAAGTAATTTTGTGTTCTAAGACCTTGAAAAGCACCATTTATCATTCATCTACTTGCGTGCGCAGTCCGTAAAATTCTCCGAAAAGTTTTCATGTGAAGAATAAATTAAAATGTGAAATAGAGTTTTAAAACTCAATTGAGTTGACTTTAGTCAACATTTTTAGCAAACAGACTTGGATCAGTATTTTGACAATTTTAGTAGGTCTGTATCGTAATTTGGGACTTGGACGTATGTCCGGAATCGAATTCCGGGGTCCCTAGCCCGAGATATGGAATTTTGATGAAAAATTAAAAGCTTGAAAGTTTAATGATTTTTAAGAAATTACTGATGTTGGATTTATTGACCTCAAGTCCGTATTTTAGTTCTGGAGCCCAGTATAGGTCCACTATAATAATTATGACTTGTCTGCCGAATTTGGTGAGAATCGGAGTTGATTTGACGTGATTCGGACGCCCGATTGTAAAAATATAAGTTTTAAAGTTTTCTAAAAATATTTCTTCGATTTGGTGTCTGATTCGTAGTTCTTGGTGTTATTTTGGCGATTTGATCGAGCGAGCAAGTTCGTATGATATTTTAGGACTTGGATGCATGTTTGGTTTGGAGCCCCGAGGGCTCAGGTTGGCTTCGGGTGGTTAACGGATCATTTTTGGACTTGAGGAAACTGCAGAAACCTGCTTTTGGTTTCCTTCTTCGCGTTCGCGAGGGGAGTCTCGCGTTCGCGAAGAGCAAATTAGGGCTGGCACATTTTTTGCTTCGCGTTCGCGACAGAGAGAACGCGTTCGCGAAGGCTTGGGATGCGAATCTTCGCGTTCGCGATCGAAGCCTCGTGTTCGCGAAGGGAAAGAGACTGGCCAAGTCAATTGCCTTCGCGTTCGCGAAGGCCAAGCCAAGCAAGCTTCACGTTCGCGAAGAGTAAAAGTTGGACAACACAAAGTTGTGTTTCGCGAGAGTACCTTCGCATTCCCAGAAACAGAACTTAAGTTCTAGAAATGGGGTTTCGACCCATTTTCAACTCCTTCCCATTTTTAAGCTCGGGTAAGGCGATTTTTGGGCGATTTTCTCGGAAAAACATTGGGGTTTGATTATATTTCATGATTCCATACTCGTTTATATCATGAATCCGTAAATTTATGGAAGAAAAATCATATTTTAGTAAAACTTTCCAAAAATGAAAAATTAAGATTTGAAGGTCCATTTGATATTGGAATTAGACAAATTTTGTATGGTTGAACTCGTATCGAAATGGGTGTTCGTATTTCACGAGTTTTTCCGGGATTTGAAACGTGGGTCCCACTGCCGAATATTTTAATGAATTTCAGATTTTTATTCAAAAAATTAATAAATTCATATGGAATTAATTCCTATGATTAGTATTGAATATATCGAATTATTTGTAAATAGATTTAAAGCTTTCCGAGTCAAATTTAAAAGGAAAAGTTGTGGTTGAATAATTGATTGAAAATTATAAAGCGAGGTAAGTGTCGTGGTTAACCTTGACTTGAGGGAATAGAACCCTTAAATTATTTGTTATGTGAATTGCATGTGAACCACGTATAGGTGAGGTGACGAGTGTCTATACGTCATCAAATTAATTGTTTGCCTGCTTACTTGAAAAGTCATAAATTATTTTAAATCATGAATTAATTATTATAATAATTATTTCTCTCCTATTCTTTGTCAAACATTAATTCTTGAATTCTTGCATTAATTGTTACATGCTATTTGAATTATGTGTCTTAATTGTTATTTGACATTTAGTATATTAAATATGAAACTGCCTATTTTTTCCGTGATTTCCATAATAATTTGCTATTTGTCATTGTTTGTTTCATAATTAAATTATAATTATTGTATTTTTGTTGTCTTATAGGTTTATATTAATTGTTGCATTTATCGTGAAAGTTTCTTCTATAAGAATTGGTAAATGAATATGTTGGAGGAGCGGGTTGCACGCCGTAACAGAATTGATTGAAATGGATATATATTGGAGGATCGGGTTGCACACCCAACAGACTTATTAAAAAGTCAATATTGGAGGATCGGGTTGCATGCCGCAACAGACTTATTAAAAAGTTAATATTGGAGGATGGGGTTGCACGCCGCAACAGACTTATTAAAAAGTCAATATTGGAGGATCGGGTTGCACGCCGCAACAGACTTATTAAAA